AAGCAAATATTAGCCTCTAACATAATAATTAGTATTTATAAATTGATTGGGAAATATAATCATACATAGGGTGGGGCAAATGTAGGTTTATGGTTGTTCATATGGGAAATAATACAATAATTAGTAAATAATAATACAAGAATAAACTCTGCGTTTCACATACTTATAACTGTAAATCTACTTTTGCTCCACCCTGTATGCTTTGGAGAGAGACCTTGGTGTGATACCGAATACTACAGAAAGATATGACAAGTTATTATTTAATCGAAAGGAAATTTACTACAGTGAACTGTGTGTTGTTGGAAAAGTCCAGAAATTTTCATTAAAAATATCAAAATGGAAATCAGGAATATAAAGATATAAAAATCTCAGAACATTCAGTGAAAAAATTTAGAATAATATATTTTACATTCCATGAGTGAAAATGTTTATATACCACAAAGTTTAGAATACCAGAAGTAATAAATAAATTCATGTTAGTGAAGGACAAATAGTTAAAATACTGATGAGTTTTGAGAACTAAAACTTAAAATACTAATAACCATAGGAGAATAAAATACTCTCCGTATAAGAAAATTATTAATAAAAATATTTATACTTATAACAGTGATTAAAGACATGCAAAAATTCAATGTATAGATTATATTAAATCTTTCTCTTTCTATATCAACTATATGGTGTTACTATTAACTACACTGTGGATTTATGTCAAACATTGACTTAAGGAAAGATGATGGACAGATATGAAAGAGCAAAGTGCCATTTTTTTCCAACAATGTAATTCTTAATTTGATTAGATTGACTGAGACAAATGCCTAAAGCATTGTATTCAGAATGTAATACAAGTAATACTTCAGTCATTTAAAATTCATAGGAGCTATTATTCCACCGCCATATGATCTGTCTTGGTTAATAGTCTATGTGCCCTTGAAAGACATGCATACTGTTTTCATGGGTGTCGTTTTCTATGTTAATAAAGACAATTTTGCTGTTAGTGTTATTTATATTTTCTGTAGCCTCACAAAATTTATTTCTTCTTATTCTATCATTTACTGAGAGGTTATTGTTAAAATATTTTACTGTAATTGTACATTTATCTATGTCTCCCTTAATTCTGCCAGCTGTTTGCTGCATGGTTTTTGGTGCGTATCATCTGTTACATATATGTTTAATGTTGTTATGTATTCATAGGATATTGCTAAGTTCATTATCATGCAATCCCCATCTTTTCTTGTCATGGTCTTTGTCTCATAAAGTCCACTTTGTCCATTGTTATAATAACCATACCAGCTTCCTTACAATTACTGTATGTGTGGTAGTTCTTTATTTTCCCTGGTTCTTTGAAACATATGTTTTCAAATTGCCTAAATGACAGACTTTGATTTGGCTTTGCTCCTTCATTGCCTTTTCATCTGGGCGCTCATTCAATTTATGCTCAGTCAGATTGTTTGTGATAAATTTACTACAGTGCTCACTGTTTTCTACCTTTCTCTCCTGTTTCTGTTCCCCTGCTGTTCCTTTTGTCTTGCCTTCTTCTGGGTTAATTAAATAGTTTCAGTGTTCAATTCCATTTTCTCTGTGCTTTCTTATCTATGCTTTAGGTTCCAGTAATAGTGCTTGAGGCTAATAAAATGGGTTATTTGTGTATCAGACTCTATTTTGAGATATTTTTCTATCTTGTCAAATTTCACATTAAATATTACAAAATTCTGACCTCACCTTCCTCTTCACTCTTCATCACTGGCATTTCTTATTTCCTACCTGAAATTTCCTAATTTTCTTTTTAACATTCCCATGTTCTAAGCATAACAACCTTAGTATGACATAAAACTATATATCTGCCCTCTTATTTTTGTAATGTTTTTCATATAGCTTATTTCTACATATGCTATAAATCTCATCTTACAATTTTATAAAATTTTCACAGAACAAACGTTTGCCTTTTCCACACATTTTACAAAGAGAGAGCACACAGACTTTTATGAGTGCCCGCATATTCATTAATTCCTTTTTGTAGGTCTGAGTGCAATAGGTGGCCTTTGTCTTACTCTTAAGGAACACTGATCCACAGTCCATGCAGGGAAGCTGTGCTGGTGACCAATTATGTCAGCTTCATTCAAATTTAAGTAATATTCTCATGCACAGGTCTTTAAGTCACTGATTATTTTTATTCAGTGATTTTCGGCACAGACACTCCTCGATTCCCCAACCATTCTTCAGATTGTATGTTTAATCACCTGCCTTTAGACTTGCTACTTTTGTACTGGTATGTTCACTCAGAGAAAAAAAATGCTTTAAGATTTTGTATTGACTTTTAGAGAGAGAGAGAGGAAATGAGAGGGAGAGGGAGAGAGAGAGAGAAACATCAATGTGAGAGCTACACATAGATTGGCTGCCTCCTGCATGCCCACCACTAGATGGAGCCTGCAACCTGGGCATGTGCCCTGACCCAGAATCAAACTAACAGAACTTACAACATTTCCACATTTCCTTGTATGGGACAAGTCCCAACCCACTGAGTCACACAGGCCAGGGCAATGCATAGAAATTTGTATTTCAATTGCTTTGCTTTCTGGTTCTAGAATTTCCATTTGGTTTATCTTTTATTTTATTTTATATTTATCTGGTTTCTCTTATCATTTCATTTATTAAAATCATTTTATTTTGTTTATTTTTAAAAATAAAATTATTTAAAACTTTCAGTCTTCTAAGTTCAACATCTGAAACATGGTGGGTGTGCTTTCTACTGATCATGGGGTCAGTATGAGTTGCAGTTTTTTTAAATGTGCTTGTCTAATGATGTTAGATTAGATACTGAGCATTTTAAATTATGCTTTTAAAGTATTCCATATTGTTTTATCCTCAAAGAGTGATGATGTTTGTTTTTTAGGACTTCAGCTAGTGCCTGAAATGTGTAGGTGCATCTGCAGGGTAGATCTAGGGAAACCCTGAGACTTTTCCAAAGCTGCTCTGAAGTTGGCAAGAGGCAGCGCCATGGTGTGTCCCCTGCACATCCTGATGGGGTTGGGATCCCAGCTTTATCGGGATGGGGCTAGAGTAGAGCTAATTTAGTGCAGCCGTTCTCAAGAGTAGAAAACCATTTGGAGATTGGGTTTGAAAATGAGCCAGGCACTTTTAATTCCCCTTTGGAACATCATTGTTATAACTTAAAGTGACTGAAAGACAAATTATATTTATTCAGACGGGTATTTTGCAGTTTCTCAAAAATGAACAAAGTGAGCTGCACTGTCACTCCAAAGAAAATAACTGACAATGTTTGTTTTCACTGATATTATGGTACATATTTGAACCAGAAAAGTAAAAAGGAGAAAGAGAATTTTGCAATCTTCAAACAGAAGTTTGACACCTTTCCAAAACCGACGTTTCCTGTGGGAGCCAAAGAGCTATTAGGAAGGTGAGTATTTTACACTGTGTAACATTAGAAAGATATCCATAACTCAATGAGCCAACATTTTACTCAGTATTACAAAACTGTGTATGGGGGAAATATTTATTGATATGGTCCCAACTTTCCCTTTGAAACTAGTTCCTAAGAAAACAACCACTTTTTTTTTGGTGGGGGGGGGGGGAGCGGGGAATAGAAGCAAAAATGAATATCTAAAATCATCAGATAAGTATAATATTTCTCCCCTTGAAAATCACATATCTGTATGAAGTCTATGAAGTCATGTTTTCCTTGTATATTTCTACCAAACATTATCTCAAATCAGACTAAACAAAGAAGTCAGATGTGAGAATTTGTCTGACTTCTATTTAGCTATTCATTGAAGTCATGTACAAAAAAGTAAGACAGTACCCCTCTTCTCGTTACTCTCAGTTTTGCTTTGGAAAATATAGTTTCATAAAATTAAATTGTCTACATTTCTATTTAGTGTACTATTTTAAACAGATGGATAAGTAACTGTTTTTGAAATGTTTCAGTTTTAATTTTGAATAATGCAACCCTTTGTGTCTCAAGTGAATGTTGATGGTGGGCTAAGGAGTGGCTCTCTGGGAGGAAAGAGACAGAAAACCACCATCCACTGACCTGGGGCTGCCTCAACTCTGGTCATTTCAAGTGTCCCCACTCAGGTCTGTATTAGGTGCTATCTAATAAGCCCTAGGACAGTGATGGCGAACCTATGACACGCGTGTCAGAGGTGACACGTGAACTCATTTTTTTGGTTGATTTTTCTTTGTTAAATGGCATTTAAATATATAAAATAAATATCAAAAATATAAGTCTTTGTTTTACTATGGTTGCAAATACCAAAAAAATTCTATATGTGACACGGCACCAGAGTTAAGAGAGTTTTTCAAAATGCTGACACGCTGAGCTCAAAGGGTTCGCCATCACTGCCCTAGGAGGTTAGGCCTTGCTCCTTTCCAGCCCAGCCTGTGGCCAGGAAGCCAGCTACCTTTCTACACAGCTAACTCCTCTCTGGTACCCACTGCACATGCTCCGCAGCCTCAGCTGGCCCAGGCTTTGATCTCTGCCTCCTCTGCTCAGCAAGACTCCTAAGCTCTGTGCATATTCCAGTTTTCTGTTTTCTCTTCTTCTGAGCAGGAAATTGCTCGGAAGCAGAGGACTGAGTGAAATTCATCCAGGTATTACTGACATGTGCAAATATTAGTCACTAGCTAAAGCCCATTTCTTCATCTATTTCACCTCCTTTTACAGTTGATTTTAGGGAGGGTAATTATCTGAGACTTCTAGCATAAGTCACCTTTTGCATTGAAAAGTTTATATCTGGTGCCTACTCTCATTCTTGGAGCATTATATTTTCAGAAACTATTATCAAATAATGCATGTATATATGCATAAAACACACAGCTAAACAAATAAGACAACAATGAGTCCATATTTATTAATGTGATAGTCTCTCTGGGTCTTTTTCTAACTACAAAGGAGCAATTGGATGGGGAATGTCAAAGACGATTTTTTGTGATTGACATTTCTTAATTGAGGTAATAATTTCAATACTGTAAAATCCATTTTTTTAAATCTGGAACGCTTCACAAATTTGCGTGTCATCCTTGCACAGGGGCCACGCTAATCTTCTCAGTATTATTCCAATTTTAGTATATGTGCCGCCTAAGTGAGCACTAAAATTCATTTTTTAATGTCTAGTTGCTCAGGATGTTGAGATCCATAGAGCCAGGTACCCATCAACAGTCAAGATAAGATCATAAAATCATTTTAATCTGTCATTTCTATTTAGTATGTTTATCTATTTGTATCAGTAGCCCAAACTTTTTATAGGTAAGTAGTATTCTATCGTAAAGATTATAGTTAATTTAGCCACTCACAAGTAAAAGGACATTTGGGTGTTTTTTTTTTTTTTTTTTCTATTTTGGGGAGATTATACATAGAAAATAAAAAGAAAGTACAATTTTTTATGTGAACATATGTTTTAACTTCCCTTAGGTAACTAACTTAGAGGTGAGATTGCTGAATCACATGGCTAGTGTTTATTTAAATATTTAAGAAAATTACAAACTGTTTTCAAATTGTTATATCACTTTGCATTCCCAAGAGCCTATTTCAAGAGTTCTTTTACCCCACATACTCTTCAACACTTTTATTGTTAAAACATTAATTTTAGGTATTCCATTATTTTGAAGTGGTGTCTGGTTTTGATTTTAATTTGCTTTGCCATAATGGTTAATGATGTTGAAAATATTTTTAAAAACAATGTTTAATTTGGTTGAAGTTTGTATAGTTTTCCTGTTCTCCAGATGTTATTTCTGCTTTGATGTTTATTATTTCTTGCCTCCTGCTAACTTTGGGCCTCTTTTGTTTTTTTTTCCTACTACCTAGAAGTGTAAGGCTAGGTTGTTTATTTACGATCTTTCTTCTTTTTTATTTCCATAAACTTTTCTCCTGTTATTGTTTATGCTACATCTCATAAGTCTTGGTTTGTTGTGTTTTGTTGTCTGAAGATATTTTCTAATTCCCCTTTTGAGTTCTTCTTTGAGCCACTGGTTGAAAAAGAGTGTATAATTTCTGCATTTTCCAATGTTTCTTATCTTATTCATTTCCAGTCTCATTCCGCTGTGCTCAGAAAATATATTTCGTATGATTTTATCCTGTTTAAAATGTGTGAAAACTTGTTTAGTGGCCTAATGTGTAATTTATCTTAGGGAATTTTCCATGCACACTTGAAAGAAATGTGTATTCTCCTGCTCTTTGGTCATGAGGGATGATTATGAAAAATTATACTCTAAAAATTGGACAACCTAGAAAACATGAACTAATTCCTAAAAACATTCAACCTACAGACAATGAATAATAAAGAAATAGAAAAATCTGAACAGACAACTAGCAATCAGTAATCAAAATCTTCCAAAGAAGAACAGAAAAGAACCAAGTGGCATTACTGGTGAGTTCTACCAAATATTTAAAGGGGAATTAACACCAATACTTCATTTATCTGATATACCTTATTTGGGAGAGCATGTTAGGTCATAATCTTTTAATACTAAATCTGGTACCATTACAAAGACCTCATTTACTATTGAGATTTCTCAATAGCATGATGATTGCACCCACTTTCAATTTTAATTGATGACACGGCATTCCTGAAGGAGTAATATTATTAAGAAATTCGATGGGAAAATTTTCCTTTTCAGCATCATCTGTGGAATCAATGAAATCATCACTTAAATATGTGTGAAAATCTCCATCGAGAATATCCAACATTTCTTCATTTAATTTTTGAACATGCTCATTTTTTGTACAAAGAATTGCACATGTAGATATATTTTTAATATCATCTAGAGATATAGTATTTCCAAAGGTAGCTTCAATAATAGATCCATTACAAATCATTTCACAGGGGATTTCCATAATATCCATTCCTAAATGAAAGCTGCTATCAAGTGTGCCATCTCCAAGTGTTACTAACTATCCACTATAAGCAGAATCCTCTGATCTCATATTTGTTGTGAGACAACTTTCTGAAACATCCCCAAACATTGCAGTACTTTAAACTCGTTTGCACTATGGCCGATCACATAGCATGTGGTACAATACTGAGACATTGTCGAAAATCCCCTCCAAGAAGGAGAACTTTCCCATGAAATACAACATTCAGACTTATAATTTCTCTTAGTAATTTGTCTATGGCGTTTATAGCATGACTGGATGCCATGGTGCATTCATCAATAATGAGAAGTTGGGCCTTTTTAATAGTTTTAGCAACTTCACTCTTTATATTGAGTCTAGAAATTAAAGTTTCATTTAATGGAATTGGTAATTTATATTGGGAATGAAAGGTGCTTCCACCGAGAAGTAAATTTGCAGCAATTCCTGTAGACGCTATGGGTAAAACAGTACCACCACGACCTCTAATATAATGTATTTAAATTTTATACAGATATGCAGGTGAATAGGGTTCCTAGCTGGCAGGCCCCTGACAGCAAGCTGGTCACCTGTTGATTCCATGAGGAATGGGGCTCCCTCCTCTCTCCTATCAGGGTCCGGGGTGCAGGTGAATGGGGTTACTGGCTGGCAGGCCACTGACAGCAAGCTATCCAACAGCAGATTCTGTGAGGAATGGGGGCTGCCTCCTCCCTACTGTCAGGGTCTGGTTTGAAGGCCGGCAATGCTCCCTGTTGGGTCAGACCCAGAGTTCTACCCTGCTGTGGCCTCCACCTCAACAACCCAGGACTGACTGCTGCTGGGCACTCCTGGTGCTCCTAGGGTGGGTTCTTCCCTCAGGCCTCACGGGAAACAGCTCGGGGAGGGCTCAGCCCTTGGCAAGGCAACCCAGGACTCAGTACTTCCATGCTCCAAGGTCAGGTTCCTGACTGAAACCTCGCCCTGAGGGAAGGTTCCTGCCTGAAACTTTGCCCTCCGGGTAACAGCTGGGGGAGGGCACAACCGTTCCCAAGACCACCCCTGCAGGACTGACTTCCTTCTGATTGGTCGAGCTTCAGGACGTGATGTTACACCCAGGGTTTTTATATAAGTAGATATGATGGAAAGACAAATGTATATCTATATGGGGGGAAAATGAATCTTTACACCATAAGAAAAAAAATCAATTGTAGAAGATACACAGACCTAAATGTAAAAACTGAAACTCTGACTTACAGGGAAAAATATAGAATATTTTGAAGGTCTTCACTAGTCTGATATTTCTTCGGACACAGAGCCACTAGTAAGAAAATAAGAGGTAGAATTTTATCAAAATTTATATTTAAGATTTTGGCAAAACATGTAAAGAACTTTTACAAATCAGTTTATAACAGACACAAAAAATGTAATTTGTAAAAAGAGCTAGAAATGGAACAGGAATTCCAGATATGAGGCTACCCAACCAGCATTTACATTTGAAAATAGGTTGAAGACCATTAATTATAGGGAAATGTAAATTAGGACATCAAATCCACTGTACCCACCAGAATGGTTAAAGTTTCAAGTGTTGGAGAGAATAAGAAGCAACTGGACCTCTAAGTGACTGTAGGAATTAAAATGGTACACTGGGTTTAGAAAACCACTTAGCACTTGTTAATAATGTTATAGCTACATGCCTCCTCTACGTTTCACCCCTCCTACTTCTAAGTACTATAAACAAGAGAAATTATTTCCAAATGATTGTACACAATAGTCACAGCAGCTAAAAGCTAGAAAAATTCCATAAATAAATATTTTATATATTCATAAAATGGTCTAAAATGTTTTATAGTTAAATTTTAGGAAAGTGCAGATAAATGCATATCTTCGCTATAAAACTGTTGTGAAGTAGTGGATTTGATACAAAGCATGAACAACAGTGTTACAAATGCACTCCTGAGCTATAAAAATGGCAAGATTGTCTATGTGGAAAAGTAGTGCTCATGTACTGTGAGCATTTGTTACGGTTGGTTAGGCAAAAGTAGTACCATTTTGGCTTAGTTGAGAAGATAAAATTCTATATTCTCTGGACAAATACAAAGCATGTGGAAAAAGGATGTAGAGTAACGAGTTTAAGAAAACAAATCTGAGTTAATTATATCCAAAGTTAATGTAAAAGATTAGCAAAGAGTGAGATTAAAGAAAGTCTAGTCTTAAGTGGTTGTGAGAGTGTGGTATTCATTTTAAATAATTTCTATATACTTTTACTTAATTAAATAACTATAATGCCTATATTTTTAAATGTCTACTAAATTTTGAAATGCAAGTCAGCTTTCTCTCTCGCTGATACATAAATGATAGAAAACTGTTGGAATACACCTTAAAGTCTGAAGCAATTTATATGGTAATTAATTACTTCTTAATATCGCAAAGAAAATCACTGTATACGTCCTATTATTACAGGTAGCAACTACAACTTGATCAGTAATTGAGGGCGAGTTTCAATAGTGAATCCACTTTCTTTATTAGCTGGTGAGAGGGATATGGCAGGGCTTTAAGAAAATGTAAAGAAAACTTGCTACTCATGTCCTAAACCATTTACAATGTACTCTTGGCAAAACCCTGACAGAATTGAGCCATGGCTTCACTTTTATTTGCCAGGTATTTAATTCGATTCTATAAGTGCTTCATCTTTGTGTTTTATCTATTCCCAGCCTTCTGGTTTGTTGTTTTGTTTTTGTTTTTTCTTTTTTTTATTGTATTTCTTCAGTTTATCTATCTTATTTTGTTTGTTCATTTTCCCTTGCTGTGTCTCATCTCATTGTCTCATCTTTTCTACATTCATGTTGGAGTTGGTACGATGTTCTCCATAGGTAAATGCTAAAATGAAAAATGAAAAAGTGAGTTGGCTGATTAATGTACATGCACAGTCTTTTTTTAAATCTACAAGAAAAACAAATATTCTTGGAGAATAACGGCCTGTTCAATACTCTTCTTTGCCACAAAGAAGACTGTATGATAAAGGCTGAGTGCCAGCAAGGAGAGGAAAAGAGGGAAGCAGAGCAGCAGCTGGTAGCGTGTGCTCCAGTTTCCTAAGTGACAGTGACTGTGGATTATCAATCACTTTCTGCATCAACAGTAACCCTTTCACTCCATGGAGTACCAAGTCCCTCAAGAGTTAATGACTGTGGAGAAACAATAAATAAATATGCTATCTGGTAGTAAATGTGATGACAGTAAATGCTGTCAAGAAAGGCAAATACAGA